TCCAAGATACCTCTGCATTTCTCTAATATAGTGCATTTCACATTGCACTGAACTACTTACATTTCTCCTACCAGAATCTGACATATTTGTTGCATTGGTATGCCCTTAGAACACAGTAGGTATAAATGTTTGTGAATAAGTGAGCCACTGAGTGCATGGATGATTAACATATGATACAATAATCCAGCTCCACTCAGAGCTAGCATTACTCATGTTTTCTGTAAATCACACACCAGGATATACATTAGCAATACAGTTTTTCCTACTTCCACATTCGAACAGGAAACCAGAATCCCAGATGTATATTATTCTGAAGTAACAGCGCCACATTCACCTCCGACCTTTTAAATCCATTCCTAAAGTGAACTTGGAAATGAACGACAGAGATGAAAACAGAAACAATCCCAAATTTCCAAAACACATCTTAAATTAATTTCTGCTACGTTTGCACATTCACTTGCTTTATACAGGTGACTGCTATTTCTCCACATCTTCTCTTTACCTCCCTTCACAATGAGGTCAGTCCTTTTGAGGTTTCCTCAGCATTTGGAAACTAAGCCTCCACTTCAGTTTACTGAGTGCCACACAGCTCCCCACAGGTGCAAATTCTTCAAGCCACAATTTTTAGTTTCATGTGGAAGCATCACCCGTTTCTTTCCTTTCCTTCTTTGAATCTTATCACAATGAAATGTGATGCTTGGGTCACTCCTCATTGCCAAGTGTGATGACAACAAGGCCAACGGACAATGTGGTCCCTGGCCAAGAGGAGCGTGGATGTCACCCTTTCTCTTCTGTTCACCTGCATCAGGTACAGACTGCAGAAAAAGCAACCTGGCTGCCCAGGGAGCTTTCTTCCCAGCTCTGTATGTAGGAGGGAAAATTCTATGCACACATATTTCCTGTGCACAGAGAATATCACAGGTCAGACAGACAAGCCTCAGGAGTGGACCTGAAAAAGCCAAACCATAAACTCCTGGCATGCAGAGTAGGAGGAGACATTCCAGACAGCTAAGTGACACTTAATGTTTTAGACATGAGAGCGAGGGCCAGCCCTTCGCTAGTGGCAGAGACAGGAGGAGAGCCCAGGTCTCCTGACTCCTGTTCCCATGCTCACAGGACTTCCCTTTCTTTGTCTCCAGGCTCAGCCACATCCCCCTGGGGCTTGACACACCAGGGACGACATATCCCTATCAGACCCAGCATAGCTGTGGTTGATACAACTCTTCCTTCCAGCAGAATCCTAGGGCACACTGACCACGAGCTCCACACCTGGATGTTTAATGAAGCATGAAAAGAAATCACAATATCTCATTCATTTCAGCCCAACAAGCATTTATTGAGCACCTACCATGCACAAGGGCCAAGGCTATGTGTCGGGCAACATTAGGGAATACAGTAACACAATGAACTACACTGGACGTCGTACTGTTACTTCAGTGACCATGGAACCATAGGCAGTGCTCCAGGGGCCCAAAGGAAAACACCAGACTGCTAACCAGAATAACTGGGGTTCAAGTTAGGTGTGTGCTGAAGGTTTTGCAGAAGAAGCAATATTGAATCTTAAAGAAAGAATGCCGTCTCATCAGGTAGAATAGATAAGAGAAAGACATGCTGGAGAAAAGGGTTAACTTAACCACACATACAAATTAGACATAACAGCAAGGGGACAACTCAAATTTCATGGGGAAAGCGGACAAGAGACGGGCCTGGCACGGTGTTTGTAATAACACTGATGGCATCACCAAAGAATACGGGCACTGGCCTTCAAAGGCAAGCCCGGGAAAGGGCCTGAGCTGAGGCGGACATTCATCTCTGGGTTTTGGAGGTGATTCTCCCCTTCATGTGGAGAACAAATTGGAGATGGAGGAGGCAGGGTGCACAGAGGCCACTTGAGACACTTTTCCACCAAGGAAACACTGTGTAGAAACACGTTCCTTGTCACACTTTCCGCCGAGAGTGTCCAACCTTAGGGACACGTGAGAAGGCAGGTACTTCTCAAGCAAGAAGGAAGAAGAGCTTCATCTCCTTTGCTGTGATAGGAACTGTCAACTAGTCCTGTGGCAGCGTGGCCACGTGGCTGTGGGCACTGGAGGTGAGAAGTTCACTCTTAGCCCCACTCATGGGCCCCAAAAGCCCCAAACAATGCAGCTGGGAGTCACAGAAAACCTGCCACAATGGGGTTCTCCAACTTCCTGTCCCTGGCCACTTTGACCAGAACTCTCGTCACTGGTGTCCCCTGAGCCCAAGCCCTCACTGTGTACCCAGCCTGTGCTACAGACTGGGCCACACAGACAGGAGGCAGCTGGGGGAGAGGAGAGGAGGGTAAAGAGGCCACCAAAAGAATCCAGAAGGAGAGACAGGCTGAGCCTGGACAACAAACGGAAGGCTCCTGTGCTGAATATAAAGTTCCATCTGCTCCTTGTCAACCAGCAAACCACAGGGGCGGTCACGCAGCCATTTTATCTAAAAGACGGGTATCTCTCTAGGGGCAGGGGCAAGGTGGTCCCCAGAGTAGGAGGCAAACAGTCCAGCCTCCATTTGTGTTGACTCAGTCATCACACCCTTGAAAAGTGTTTACCTTAATACATGTTTTATAATCTAACACCCGTGAACTATATCTCACATATGCAATTTTGAAATAATTTAATATACATTGTTGAAATCCATACTCAAAAACATATTTTGGGATGGTGCATGATTTTAAATGTTTGGAGATCACAGTGATAAGTCATAGTCTCTGCCATCCAATGACAGTCAGATTGTATCCTACACACAAAAAGCATTTTTTTTTATCCTCACTCAAGGACACTTTTCCATTTTTTGTTGTTGTTGTTCAGATAGAGTGGGAGGGAGAGAGAAAGAGAGAGAGAGAAACATCGACGTGAAAGGGACACATCGAGTGGCTGCCTCCCTCACAGCCCTGACCCAACCAGGGCTGGGGATAAACTGCAACCGAGGTACATGCCCTTAGCGGAAACCGAACCTGGGTCTCTCTGGACCACAGGCTGACGCTCTACCGCTGAGTCAAACCAGCCAGGGCCAAAAAGCATTTTATTGAATTTAACTGGGACCAACTGAAATCCACATTATATGCCTAAAAAAAAATTGAGGGGGGAACAAAAGGAGAACATCAGTTTATACTTAAAAATTGAAAAGCTTCCTTACATCTTGTGTCTTTGCACTTAAAATGCTAACAAAAATAATTTAGGAAATAAATAAATTTATCAGAACCAAGAACTGTTTTTAAAAAGCTGAACTCAATTCTATGCTTTAAAACATTTTAAGCCTGGCCAGTGTGGCTCAGTGGTTGAGCATCGACCCATGCACCAGGAGGTCACCGGTTCAATTCCCGGTCAGGGCACATGCCCAGATTGTGGGCCCAATCCCCAGTGGGGGGCATGCAGGAGGTGGCCAATTGATGTTCTCGCTCATCTCTTTCTCCCTCTCCCTTCCTCCTTTAAAATCAAAAAAGAAAAAATATTTTTTAAAAACTTTTTTAAATAATCTATTCTCTCAAGGAAAGATTTTTTTAAAAAGACTTAACTAGCCCTGGCCGGTTTGGCTCAGCGGTTAGAGCGTCGGCCTGTGGTCCTGAGAGACCCGGGTTCGGTTCCTGCTAAGGGCCCATACCTCGGTTGCAGTTTGTCCCCGGCCCTGGTCGGTTATGCGGGTGGCAGCCACTCGATGTGTTCCTTTCACGTCGATGTTTCTCTCCCTCTCTCTTCCTCTCTCTCCCTCCCACTCTACCTGAACAAAAGATGGAAAAATGTCCTCGGGTGATGATTAAAAAAAAAAAAAAGACTTAACTATCTAACAAAATCAACCAATCCTGGTTCAAATTTTACCAAGGCAGGAAAATCATCCTTGTGTCATTAAAAATGGCGTGTGCTATATTCACATTACACAGGCCATAATTTATTGTCATCTGGAATTTTTTAGTGAAAATGTGATACTATTTCCAATCCTTGCACGTGGGCACACACACACTTACTGGTATGTGACAGGAAGGGAGCTAGCTCCAGAAAATGTCTCCTGATTCTACGTGCTATGCCCTTCATTCCTGTCGACAGAGGCTCCAGAACTTCTTCCATCCTGAGCTTCTTTTCAACTTTTTGTAGATGCTACTCCAAGTTCTCATATGACAGAGAATGCGGATTAAATTCCCATGTAACCACCAATAAAGGGAATGAGAAACTAAAGGTTGATTACACTACAAGTTTTGTGTTGAAAACTCAACTTTGTATCTGCTAATTAATGATCCGTTATTCAGATTCATAAGCTTAGCAGAAACGTGTTGAATCCCGCCATGTACCATCACCACTTCAGAAGCCGTCCCAGCGCCACTGAGAGATACAAAGCTGCCAAGTCGGCCCTCCTCTTACTGCGAGGGGGCCTGTGTCACCTACGGCTTTCCCTGAGCACCTAGAATGATGCCTGGCACCTGGTAGGTACCATAAATACTTCACTGCCTTCCTGAAGCAGCTTGCAACCAATGAAGATGAGAAGTGATGGGGAAAAAAGAAATTCAATACTTCCAAATAATTATATTTATATTCTTATACACATACAAGAATATCTGACAATAATTTTCATCTCCCTTCTGACTCTATAATGAAAATCTCATATAGCTCAGAGAAAGGAGAAAGGGTTTATACTCCCTGCATGGTCTATTGTTAGTTTTAATTACAATGCTTAGCAAAGCTTGGAAGAAAATAATTTCAGCTCATTTCAAAAATAACTCCCATTCAATACAAGAAGATTAGATTTTTCACACATAATTTTGTACGTACTTGATAATGAAAATGGTTTGGCATATGAATAAAGCATTTTCTTAGAAACTTTGGTCTATTGAAGTACCAGGGCTAATATCTATTTATAAAAATTAAATTTGCCTCAAAAAAGTAAAAGCTTCCCAAGAACTCATCTAGGCTACTAGAACCAGAGAAAGTGTGTTCAAGCCAATGTGAGACAGAGGTTGTGAAGTCTCTCACAGTACTTACTGATCCATACAGCTCCCCCTTCTCATTCATGCCGAGGTACAGTCCACTGTCCACGCCTCGGATGCTGACCAGGCCCACAGCTATACTGATAAATTCCAGAATGCCTACAAGACAAAGGGCAGAGGGCGAAGGACAGGTCAGAGCACACAGCATTGCCTTAGACCTCAGAGTCTCAGCATCACTAGAAGTTTCAAAGACGTCTGAGACTAGCTACCAACAGGATAATCTCACACTCACCAAGAAAGTGTCTTCTCTTAAAACAACTGTCTAAAAGAATTGACTTTTATAATAATAATAAAAAAAATACTTATCAGCATGACGCATAACATTTTAAAAATAAAGGGCTAGTATTTACGTAGATACACTGAGAAATGATATGACATAAACCGGTGTACGTATTCTAACTAACTTAAAAGAGTATAATTGGAGAGAAAAACATCCAGTTTTACTTCTAGTTGATAAATGTGAATTAAGCATTTGTGTATGGGCATAGGTCAGAAAAAATTTCTATTCAGGGAATGGTCTTATGTGCCTCAGAATAAGAGTATGAGGTGCTGCCCGGCCGGTGTGGTTCAGTGGTGGAGCGTTGACCCTGCTCCACAAGTGCACGGTTCCGGTTCCATTCCTGGTCAGGACACATGCCCAGGTTGCGGCCCGATCCCCAGTGGGGGCACGCAGGAGGCAGCCCATCGATGTTCTCTCTCATCAACCTTTCTATCTCTCTCTCTCCCTCTCCCTTTCTCTCTCTCTAAATCAATAAAGAAAAAATATTTTTTTAAAAAGAGAGTATGGGGTGCTGGCTTGACTTGCTCATGCAGGAGTTATCCAGCTATCTGTTGTATGACTGACTGCATCAAGCTCCGTCTGGAACACTAAAATAGCTTACACATCCCAAGTATTTCTGCTTAAACAAAGTATTTATTTTTGCTGTAGTTATCTATGCTTCATAGAGATACTTAAGCAATTAAGATAGCACAATATTCTGGAAAAAATGTAGATTCCAAAATAGTCATGATTAAAATAGTCATGGAATACTATATCCCAAAAACAAATAATGATCTTCTTTTATTTCCTTGTTTCTGCTTACTTACCTCTCTAAGAATAACAACACCTAAGCTGGGCATGAATCCAGAATTTTATGGCCATACAACAGCTTCAATTTCTCTAACTATATTGTTGTTTTAACATGATTACCTAACAGGGTCTTTGGGACAATGCTAATGTTACTTGTGCTTAGCTATTTTCTCAATTTTGTTATAAAGTGCTAGACTTTGTGAAGACCTTGCATTCATGCACACCAAATACTGAGATTTTTTTAAATATTCAAATGCTGAAAAATTTACTTACATTTTAGAGTTTAGAAAAAAAACTAAGAATAACATTGGCCTATACTTAGTCTCACATGACTAATAAAAAAGCATTTACATGGATTTCTAAACAGTTCATTTTTCAGCGCTCACAAACAGGCTGAGCTACAGCAGGAAGAAGAAGTGGCAAAAATGTGGCGACGAAAGGAGGCAAGACTTTTGTGGGGAGCACACAGCGACGTATACAGATGACAGTACAGACTGTATGCCTAAAACTCACATAAAGTCATTAACCAATGTCACCCCAATTAATTTAATTTAAAAATAAAATATATGAACTACATAAGTATAACAAAGCAAAGATTTCAAGGTGATGTGAAAGACAAGATATTTCTTATAAAGAACCTGCAAACTAATTATTTTTATAGACAGTGAACTACTGTATGGAAAAATAGAAAGCAAAATTACAAATTATATTTGGATCTGATATTCTGTGACTCTATAATGGAAGATACACCAAAAATAAACAAGTTGATTAATAATCTTTCCTACCTCATAAAGCAAATGAAAAGATAAATAAGGCAATATTTCCATGAGACTCATTTCACCCTTACTGATGCAATCAGTTTGTTTTATTGTACTATTTCTAACTCTAATGGTTGAAAAAAATTAAAACTGTGGCATTTAATTTCTATTCAGAGTCACATACACGAGAATCTCTTCTTAGCTACCTGAAAACACAGCACAATATAAGTCACAGTTACCCTGAAATTAGTGTTAGGAATTCATGAATGTCCAATTGTCATTATGAAATGAAAGACAGGAAACACAGTGCTCCCTTGGAAGTCTGGCCAATTAGGTAAACTATGTCAATAGAGAAAGGCTCAATCATAAGACTGAAAAATGCTCACCTCTTCTAAGAAGGTATCTGGTGGCCTTTCTTCTTTCCTGAGACAGGAAGCAGCTCTGAGAACTAATGATGAATACTGGCCAATGGTGACCACCAGGCCCAACAAGAAACAGGGCATATGTGACCCCCCAAAACCACATGCCTGGCTGGTATGCAGAACATCAAGAATAACAACAACGACAATCTAATTAATAGCTAGAACACTTGAGAATTTAGTCTGTGCCAAATGAGAGGCCGTCTCATTCAATCCTCAGAACAACCCTGTTCATTACAATATTTCTGTAATCCCCACCCGAGGGTATGTTTTACTGATTTCAGAGAGAGAGGAAGGAGGAGACAGTGAGAGAGAGAGAATGAGGGAGAATGAGAATGAATGAAAAACATCTATCGGTTGCTTCCCATACACGCCCTGACTGGGGATCAAACCCACAACCTAAGTATAGGCCCTGACTGGGAATTGAACCCATAGTATTTTGGTGTATGGGACGATGCTCCAACCAATTGGCCAGGGCTCATTACAATATTTTAATCTCCAGTTTACAAATGGGGACACTGAGGTTTAAGGGTGTTGAGTAACTTGCCCCCAAGAAACCAGACTCAAAAGCCTAGCTCCTCATCCATTACACACATCTTACCACTGGTTTCACCTTTTTCTCACAGATCTGTGATTTCTGTACTATTTTTATATGATTATTCTGTGACTAATGACTAGAAGATGTTGCCGAGGTCAGAGTCCACAGACCCCAGGGCAGGACGGGGAGGAGCAGAGGAGATGAAAACAGGCAGCCGCTGGGCCAGGGCCCTCCTCACACAGACGGGAAGGTAGGCATATTCTGTGTGTAGACGGTTACCCAAATCATTTATGTGCACATAGGACATAGCTTCTTCTGTTAAAAAAAAACTTGAGTTCTGAAGTTATTATGTACTTTGAAAATAAAAGTATTAAGATATCTGTTTCTTTTCTCACATCAAGATAACTATAATTCATTGTATTGACTTATTCAATCAACAAACTATTAGTGAGTGACTGCTGTAAGCCAAGCACCAGGCCATTTGTTGAGTGTATAAGGATAAATTAGATATAACCTAGGCCCTATACCCTCAAAGGCCACCCCATGAAGTGGGAGGAAGAACGAATAAACGGATATGGTAAAAATGTGGTGAACGCAGTGAGGGGCTGTTTGGGGAGCAGTCAGTGTCCAAACATGGGCTTGGGAAGGGAGTCAAGAGGCTTCTTAAACAAAATAGCACCTGGGACAAGTCTCCAATGGGCTCATCATGTGAAAAGGAACTAGCTAGTGACTGCAGGTGGAAAAGATTTCATCACCTTAAACATATCTCTGCAACTCCTTGAAAAGTAAAGACCTCAAAAGAATAGCCTAGCTTTTCATGAGATCATCTCAGAGCTCTGAGAGCCAATGGAACACCGAATGTTTGAGTCATGGCCACTCCCCCAGGTCAGAAAGACCTAGCATCTTGGCAACAAGATCTACACACACACACATACACACACACACACACCCAGGCCAGAGTAGAATTCTTACCACTTATTGTACCATCTGGTCCCCAGTGAACATACAACCTCAACCAGGTCAACTCACCTGTCTTTTGGCCTGAGCCACAGCTAAGTACATGCTTCCAACTGTACTCATCTGAGTATGACCCCCCTGCCCATTATCTGTTTATATGAGTGTTCTGCACAGAGGAGGCCCAGGAGAAGGCTTCTGTGTAGAAACATTTAAATGCTTAATGATCAACAGAAAAGGAAAAAAAAGGAAAGAGGAAGAGAAGGAGAAAGGAAGGAAAGGGGGAAAGGAATGGTGGAATTGTGTCTAAAATTAGAACTCTGATCCTCACGAGTGTACCATTGTGGCTTGTCTCTCCTCTTAGGCAGACACAACCTAGACATTCTCAAGTAAAGGGCATTGATGGAGGTACATGAAAAACATGGACCTAGAGGGTCCATGTCTAGTTTCATTTGGCAATTCCCTTTCACAGCAGCCAAAAGTTCCCAATGTGGATGAGCTCACAGGGCTCCAGGGGGTCTCATGCTATCTGAGGTTATCCCTGGTCCACAAGAGGCCAGGTCAGTTCCTGGGACCACTTCAGGAAAATGACCACACCAGACCTTCATCCTTGCTCCGCACTCAATAGGTAATAGTGATCAGCAGCCCCAGAGCTCTGTTCAAATGGACAATTAACCCAAAGCTGACCCAGCTCCCAAGAGCCCCCTGTATTGGGCCTCACCTCCAAGGCCATTACAAGGCCAGCCCTGGGCAGAGGGAGGGTGGACAGAGGCTGCTCCACTCTGGCCCATGTTAAACAGCCCTTCAGCCTAACAGCCCCCAACACTTCACAGAGCTGCATTCTTCAGACGACAAGAATGCATGCAGACTGTGGGGAGAGGCATGGCATGAGGCTTTGAAAACAGGTTAACCCTCCTGCTACAGAGAGTGCCCTGCTCAGTCAGCAACCCCACACCAGGGCTGCCCAGTCATTTATCTCAGGGCCTGCATCCCAGAAAGTTCAGTCAGGAGCAATTTGAGCAAATCTCAGAGTTACTTAAGAAATGACTACCTGAATGGTAGTTACAACCCCACCAATTTTTCAAGAATCTGGACCAGTCCTAAACAGCCCCTTAAATAGGCAGGTCTTTCCCTTAGTGAGATGCTAAAGAGCCAGATACACAGAATTTTTTAAAGTGAAAAAATAAATGGAAATAAGATTGCTTTAACCTCTTCTAAAAAAATAAATCATTTCTCCCCTCTAATACAACTTCCACCTGACACCTGCCCCTTTGAAGTGGAGCCCCAGTTAGGGTACTCATCTGGGGTCCTTGAAGGGCCACCACTGCCAGCCCCCAAGGCTCAGCCAGAGAAGCAGACCATCTGTCCACCAAGGCCAGGGTCAACTGCTCAGGCAGTAAAATAGAGGTTTGGGCCCAACGCTCACTTTTTTATTCTTCTACATGACCATTTTCTCCATGGTCTGCTCTCTTTTTTCTGCCTAGCAAGTGCTTTAAACAGAAAAAAAGATAGGAAATGAAACATCTGGCTCCCCCAGCCTGTACCCCAGAGACACAATCCCCAATTCCTTATCTCCACACCACCATTCCCAAAAAGAAAAACACTGGGCTCCCTCAAGGTCTCACCTAAGTTGTCAACGCCGCGGCCCCTGCTGGGACGCTGGTAAGAACCCCACCCCCACATCCCCTGCACTACCGCTGCTGTGTCACCTCCTGGCGTGCCTGAAGCCGCAGTCACCTGCGGGTGGGGGCGGGGGGCACTTTCCAGCACATTTCCCCCTGCCGGCTCATTTCAGGTGGAAGATGCACCTTCTATATTTATCAAGTTGTAAACCAGCCCACCCCTGCCCCACAACTACTCTTTCCTGGAGACTGGGAGGAGACAGAGTACGAACGCTGTCCCCCGAGAGAGTCGGGGGTAGGAGCCTAGAGGTGGGGAGCCGCGTGCCAGGTGTGACGCGCTGCCGCAGCCCTCGCCCGCCCTGGGCCGGGTCCTAGTGCCGCCGTGCTCCTCCGGGCGCGGCTGCGCAAGGAGAGCTGGAGGCGACCGGCTCTCGCACGGAGCTGCAGAGGTTGCTAATATTGGGACCTGCCGCAGCGTTAGCAGCAGGAGACCGCGGCACTACTGTCACCCTGGCGGCGGTTCTCACTGCAACCGGATGAAAGACTTAAATAACCCTTTCCCCACCCCCACTGCGCACAGCCACCCACTCAGCTCCATCCAAGCCGCAGAGAGCAACGCCACCGAACGCCAGGCGCGCCCTTCCCCCGCCGCCGGCGCCTGCTGACCCTCCAGCTCCCGGCTTCGCGCCCCCCACACCCGACCCGGGCGGGGGGCCTCCGCTACCCGCCTTCCCACACGCTATAACCCTGCCAACCGGGCCAACAGTGCCCAGCGAGTCTAAACGGTAGAGATGTCACCTCCAGGATGTGGGGGCGTGGGGGGGTGACAAGGTCTAGTTTTTTCGTTGTTTTGCGGCCTTTATTCAAGTCGCTGTACCAGCAGTCCTTGTCCGCTGACCCTAGAACGCGCCTCTCGGGTTCCTCCCCACTCTTGTGGTCCCCACGTCCTCTCCCTTGCATCCTTTTCTCCCAGTGGCAATTACTGGATTTCTAATGGCTCGACTGCGTGTAGCAAACGTCCTACCCTAAAAGTGACTGCACTAAAATAATAATAATAAACTTGAGATGTGGGGGAGCCCCTTTGGCATATCCCATAATCTCTTCAAGCCAGGCCCAGTCGCGCTGCACCTTGGTTCCGAGAGTCCCTCACAGACCATACTCGGCCAGTTCACACAATGCACCCGGCCCGGCCCTGCCCTGCGGGGTGTGCCCTCGCGGTGCTCCCGGAATCCCCGCTCCTAGAATCCGGTCCACCCGGGCTCAGGAAAGCGGGCAGAGGGCCGCAGGCCGTAATTTGGGCTCTGGGAAGTGCAACAACAGCTTGCCGCCGTTCCGCCTGGCCTTTGTCTCCCCATCCCTTCCCCGGCGCTCCGGCCTTGTGGGGCCGGGGCCCCGACCCACCTCCCGGGCACCGCGGAGCCCAGCGACTCTCGGAGCCCCGCCTGTACGCTTCCGAAAGAGGGAGAAGGATCCGGGATGGGACGGTGGAGGTCAGGCTCCGATATCCAATCGGTCCTCAGTGCCCTCCACCAAGTCTCCCGCCGCGGCGCGCGCCTCCAGTGGTTCCCACACCGAAAACCACCGCGCAACTGGGGCGGCGGCTGTCAGCCCCGCGGACACACACACAAAGAAACGAAGAGGCTCAACTCGGGCCCAACACCTGGTTCCCCAAACGCGGCCATAAGTGCTCAAGCCACCTCCCGTGGCCCCCAGACTAGAGTCCGGAGTCCCCGCAACACCGCAGGGCGCACTAGCTGGGGAGAGGGTGCCGCACGTGGAGCGCGTTAGGACCGCGCGGAGCTGGCCGGGCAACCGCCGAAAGCGCCACGGGCCGGGACCGCAGAGCCGGCACCTGCCAGCCGACAGCGCAAGGACCCCGTTGGGCTGCTGGGCACGTGGAGGCACCCGCCCCCGCCGCTAGTCCCCCCGGGCGCTGCCTCGACGCAGGGCGGTGGCTGCGACCCTGACACTCCCGCAGTCCCCCGCACAGCACCCAAGGCCCGTGTCCTGGAGCGAACGCTGGGCAGGGTGGCAGCCCCCACAGCGGCCCCAGGGCAGCACTTGTAAAGTTTAGTCTGCTGTGCAACCACCCAAGCTGCGTCTACTTGGGGGGTGGGGAGGATTTATTTTCAACCGAATAATTGCAAGACTAATAGTTACCTTTTTTTTTTTTTTTTTTAAGATAGCCAGGAATATTTGCATTAGCAGGTTCAGCTTGGGGCTAAGGCTCCGGGGGAGCAAAGGGACAAAATGCTGGGCCATCCCATCCCAGGCCTTAATCCTGCCTGCCTTCTGGCCTCATCTACAGCCCCCAACCTAAAACAGATAGTTTAGATTGTGGTCAACATCTGGCATGAAAACTTGAGGGGGAAAAAATCACCGCGGGACTTTGTTTTTTACGATCCACTTTAAGTGTTGTCAGGTGGGTCCACTCAGAAGTCAACTTCTTCCAACAAGCCTGGTTGCCCAAACTGGCGCTTTTTATTTTTATTTATTTTTTGAATAAGTAAGAGGGGGAAAAAATCCAGAGTCCCCCACCTGGACTGTGCTGGCTGTTGGGCTCAGGGTGGCCCAGTGGGCACATGTGTGCAGAAATGAAAGAGGACGCCCACCAGCCCTCTGGTCTGTAGCCTCCATGCTGAGTCACAAGTACCCTCCTCAGGGAGTGAAATCTTTTAGAATTAGCTAGCAGCTTTTGCACGAGCGCGCACATTCACATTCACACCAGAGAGCCACCCAGGAACCCCAAGTAGGCTGCACACTATGGAAACTGCAGAGCATTGGTGATAACTTGATGGCTGGAAGGACAAGCGCCCCCAGTGAGAGTCCTAACCCTTCCCAAATCCAATATGGGACTTTAGTCCTTCTCCCAGAACACTCAGTCAGCAAGCCTAGCACAAGGGCTTCAGATCCTCAGAGTGGGAATCAGTACGTTTCATTTATAATTCAGGCAGGATACTTGTTAGAGAAATGGGGAAAGGGGCAAAAACTTCACTAGGGCATCAGATTATAATAACCCATGCCTTCAGGAAAATGCATTTTTAAATTCTTGGTGGTTAATGATTAAAGCTTTAAACTCCTGGACAACACACACACACACACACAAACACACACACACAACTTCCTAAACCCAATCTCCCTGACTATCTGATGCAAAAGAAGAGGGACTTGTGGACTTGTGTGTTATTGATAAATCATGCCCTTCTTTAAAAATAAATAAGTAAGCTTTTCAATGTAGACTTGCATCAGTGCCAGCGGAAGACCTGCAATTCTGGAGGCTTTTTTTTTTCTTTTATTCTTCTTTTTTTTTTTAAGCTGGCAAGACAGAGGCAGAAAGAGGGACAGACCCTTCCCGCACCACGCTTCTGCCACCCCTTCTTGGTAGTTACAATCCCGATGTGTCACAGCACGGACACGAGAGTGTTAATGGTATACCTACCAAATCGGCTGTGGTCTTTCCTGGTTCCCTGGATAGTACCATTGGGGAAGATTTCCAAGTGAAATCCAGTCCTGCAGTAGAGCTGCCTCCGCCTGAGAATCCCCTTTAAATGATCCAAGTCCGTGACTGCGGGTCCCCGGGGAAGCCCCCCTGCTTCCGACTGACCCAGGTGGTCACTTAGCAAAACCGGGCTGTCCACCGGCAACACGGGCACATTCCCAAACGGTACTGCATCCTGCACACCGAAATAGTTCCCAACTTCACCTAAGGGAGCCATCAGAAGGCTGGGCTGTTGGAGCACAGGGATAAACAATAATGATGGTGCCAACCCGGGAAATCTTAGGCGAGGTATATCCAACTCCCCTCCCTTACTGCGGTTGCAGAGAGGAAAGAAAAAAAAAAAAAAAAAAACACGTTCTTTTCTTCAATCCATGAAATGCATAAATAAAAGTAATCTGCCGTTTCACTGGCACAGGTTCAAGGTCAAACCACTAATAGCCTAAGAAACCAGCGCTGTATACTCACACACCGACACACTGATAAACACATCTATGTATTTCTATGGGTAGAGCCTCGGCTCCTAGCAGTCAAGAAGGTCTGCATCCCAGCCGGCCGTCAGACGGGAAAAATTTCGTAGTTTCTCCATTTGGTTCCAGATCGGAATGACCATAGCAACTTCAACGCCTAGGCGTTATTATAGGATTTTAAGATGCACGGGCTACGTCAGAATCCACGGGTCCTGACTCCGGGGAAGGCATGCGCCGTTTTTACTCTAACCGACTCTGCAGACATCAGCAGGAATCCTTCCAGGGAGAAAAAAAAAACCTCACGTTGGTGGTGCTGAAGACTCTCCCCTCCCCGTTCCCCCTCCAAAAAAAAATCAATAATAATATAATAAAACAAAAAGAAGAAAACTTTAGGCGTCCAAAGCTGGGATCCGGAATCGTGCGGCGGCTCGGCGGAGGTCCATTGGTTCAGCGCGGGCGGCCAGCGGCGAGCGAGGGAGCGGTGTCCACAGATCGCGTGCGCCCTGCGGCCGCGAACAGGTGTTGCCGCGCGGGCTCCAGCCTGGTGACGGGTGGAGCGCTCGTCCTGCGCAGCCCCGCCGGCGCGCAGAGTGGCGCAGCAGCGGCATTGGGCCGGGTTTAAGGTAGCGCCGCGCCGCCCGCGCGCCCCGCGGTCCTAGTGCCTGCCCTTCCACGAAGCGCTGCGGCAGGCCCAGCGCAGCCCGCCCGGCGCGACCACCCGGGACCGCCAGGGAACCCCGCGTTACAAAGACGCCTGGAGAGAGGCAGAGGACGCGAGCCCTGAGACTCCACGTTTTCCTATGGAACTGGAGCCTGAAACCTGGCTCCGCGCAGTGATGAAGGTTCAGGCAGGAGTGAGAAAGTAGTTTCGCTGGACACTAATGTTGCATGAAAAATACAACTTAGTTGTGAGTGTTGGAGGGAATGGGGCTGATTTAATGACATTGCATGGACATGGCAGTTTCTCTTTTATTCCTCTGCTAGGCAAACTGTACTGCAGGTGAGACGGACAGACACGACCCCAATCTCTCTCTCTCTCTCTCTCTCTCTCTCTCTCTCTCTCTCTCTCTCTCTCTCACACACACACACACACACACACACACACACACACACACACAGATGTGGCCTCCGGGTCGGTTTTGGCCGACCTTTCCGCCGGGCATCTCCGGTAGACACTGTTCAGGTCCCGCCCGCGCGGTCCGGGCAGCTTCGGCGTAGGCGGCGGGGGGCGCCCAAGACCCGCCTCTGTCCCGGAGTTGGACCAGCGTGCGTCCGCAGAGAGTGGGTGTGGGGAGCTACAGTGGGTCCCTCTGTCCCCAGACCACGCTACTTGGGGCGAGCTTGGACAAGGTCCCCTCCACTGCTGGAGCCGGGGAGAGCCGGGCGCGTGGAGGCTTCCCGCTCCGCCCCGGGGACAACGTGGAAGCCTGGGCTCCAGAGCCGGACTTGGGTTTCTGCTCGCGGCGAGGGGCCTCTGCGCCCTGCTGGGTCGGGACAAAGCAACCCGCCGTCCGGAGCCGCGAGGGGCACTGCGGGGCCAGGCTAGGCGCTCTCTGTGCCTTGTCCCTGAGGTGGTTCCCCACCGCACACGCTCGCAAACACACACACACTCACACTCATATTCGCCCCGCAACCGTGCGCGTGCCCCTCTCCCTGCTCCTCTTTGTTCACATTGTCCTAGAAAGGACCCGACTCTCGGGTCAGGATGGGGAAACTTGGCGAGACTTGCGTCCAGCCCCAGACTGCAGGGCGAGCGGTGAGAAGCGAAGTCTGAGCCGAGACTGGACCCCTGCGGCGGGAAGGGGAATCGGAGTCTTTTTAGGGGAGAAGTCGGACCTGCCTTAGCGGCAGTCTCGGGCTGAAGGGAAAGGGCCGGGCTGGCCCCCTCAGGACGGAAGGTTGTGGAGATGAAAAGCAGCGATGAAATTGCAGATTCTCTGGCGACCTGGGGTGACCTCACCCTGCCCCCGCGTGGACGACATGCTCGGGCGGGCGAGGAGCAAGGACAGGGACGAAGTGACCCTCCCTTCTTCCCATTCCCACACCCATTTGTCGCAGTCCTGGGTCATGGGGTGTCTGGCGCTGCCTCTGCGCGTCCTGCTCACGTGTTCATGAAGCACCAGCGCCCTGCTCAGGGGTATTTCCAGCAGTCACATCCACTGTGGGCTTTCACGTTAACTGCTGAGTGGCGGATACAAGAAGCTGGGGAGCAAGTGTCACTTCCCATAAACCAGCCGAGTAGCCTGCATTCATCTCAGGGGTAGCCAGCCATGCTGAGTTAAGCAGGGGTGTGCCTGGACCACTTGGGTACAATGTGCCGGGTGGTTACTTTTTTATGAAACTGATGAAGGAAGAGAGCCAGTCAGACAGACAGATGGAGAGGAGACACTTGACCAGGAGACAGCCGAGCAGCACGTGGACATTTCCAATGAGGGCTGGACTGGGACGATTTCTACCAGCTGTCTCTCACTACATTCTATCTGAATTTAGATTGTCAGCCAACGACCAAAGACCATTTCAGCTTACGAATCCTGAAACCTTGTGACTGTCACTTTAAAAAGCAATGCAGCAAGGGGAGAGCTAGCTAAGTGCTGATGGAGCATTTTCCCACTGAGAGGCAGGCTCCTCTGAGCATCCCTTTTCCACTGCAGTTGGCTTGGTGCACACTACATCCGCATCCCTAACTCCAGCTGCAGGAAGGAAGACTTCCCTGCCTCCTTGCCACATTAACTTACCCATCCAGTTTCTCTCCCTGCTTTCCTATTACAGTCATAGAAACACAGTCCTTCTTTCCATTGCTCACATCACATTTCTTGGAAGCTCACCCCACTGGCTATGGCTGACTTCTTCACAATTCCCTACCAGCTGTGCCATGATTAGGAGCTCCTATGTCCAGGCCTGTAGGTGTGTTTTACAAGTATTCTTCAATTAGTGTATAGATGGTAAGCTCCAAGAAGACTGAGGCCTGGCTTTCTAGAGACACGTGGTGTAATTGGCATAATAACACCTGCCTTGAAAGACTGTTGTTAAAAATAAAAGAAAAAATGCACATAAAACAGGCAGCACACAATAGACACTTAAGACATGGTTGCTATTATTATACTATTACTAACATAGTTCCCCAGGGATTTGTGCATATAGGAGTATTCAGCAAATACTATTCTTTATTGCAACCCCAAGCTCTCTTAGGCTATCTCTTCTCAAAATATTTTAATCCTTCCTGTTTTCCCCTCTTCCAGTTTGTCCTCTGTCTTTTCTGCTGACAATTTAGTACTTAGACCCAGATGGGAATAAATGACAAGGGAAGTAGAGAGAGACATGAAGAGGAATGATCACCAGCATAGGTCAGCAGATCTGGACCTGGCTTCCCCAACACCCTGTGATTTCCAGCCCCTCCCTCATAGGTCGAATGAGCTGCTGCCAAGATGGGTTTATGATATAAGTATGTATAAGTAGCCTGTAAGCTATCAAGTCCCTTCTAATTTAAGGTAACAATTTTGAAAAGGTACTCAGTTCACGTCCACTACTTTGTTTGTAAACATGTGTCTCCCCCTCCAATTTCCTTAGACACCCCCAATGCAAATCACCACCAAATCATTTTATTCCTTTTCTATCACAACAAGGTGTACCTGGGCCTCTAGCATTACATCTCCATCCCCCAGTTCTCCTGCCCACTCTGCAGCCCTCAGTTCAGTCCAGGCTGTTGTTTGGGAGCTGAGCAGTGTGCGTGGAGGGGAGAGGCTTGGGACAGTTGACACCTGTTCTCCCTCTGACTCCCATGCACTAGATCTAAGCTGCAATGGTAAGAGCACAGAACTGTTGTAGCATTTACTCACTGCTTACTACGTTTAAGACTCGCTACTAAGCATCTTGTGCTTTATCTTTTTAATCCTCAAAACTACCTTATGAGGTAAGTACTATTATTATCCCATTTGACACATGAGGAAACTGGGTTTTAAAGATGAAGTACCTTGTCGACTGCCATAGGGCTAATCAATGGTACAGCCAAGTTCATAGACCTCAGCCCTCCATTGTGCCACACTGACCTCCATTATAATAGCATATACTTTTAAATTTTTATAAATAGCATGTTTCCAAAAAATAAATATATAGACATACATAACTTACATACATATATAAACAACAAGTTAAGAGACATAATGAAAGAATAAGACTTCACTTACAACAGGGAAAGAAGAAAAGAAAGGTAAGATTTCTAGAAACAAAATTAACAAAAATGTGCAAGATCTATAAGAAGAAATATATTTAAATCTCTAGGGACACAAAGGAAAGCTTGGAACAAACTGAAAGGTATATAATACTCTTAGATTTTAAAGAACTCAATTTTCATAAATATATACTCAGTTCTAAATTAACATAAAAACTTGAACTTAACATAATCACAATAAAAATACCAACAAGTTTTTTATTATTATTATTTTAGCTTTCTTTCTTTCTTTCTTTCTTTCTTTCTTTCTTTCTTTCTTTCTTTCTTTCTATCTTTTGTATATGCCCCTAGCGAGAACCAAACCCGGGACTCTCTGGTCTGCAGGCTGGAGCTCCAACCGCTGAGCCAAACCAGCCAGGGCCCAAAAAGTTTTTTTAAATTGGAAAAACTAATGCTAAATTTTATATAGAAAATTAAATTGACAGAAAAAGGTTGAAATTGACAAAAAGAAAAGGGTAACTAGCCATAGAATATTTTTAAACATCGTAAAGCTACACTAACTAAAACAGAGTAGTATTATCATATGAATTATTCATATCAGCATATGAAAAATAGATAAAGCAATAACATAGAATAAAATTTACAGAAATTAACCCAAATACATATTGGAATTTAATACA